GACTACTCATTCCCGTCATCCTTAGCAACACTCTCTTCTCTATGTTCCCACATTTGCCTTAATAATAAAAGTAACTGTCCTTTTATTTCAATGAAAGCTCCTTTCCAATTCTAAATCCTTCAAGTCAGGAGGGCCTCTGGTACATCCACCTGAGATCTAAAGGTTGCCTTGGCTTGAAATAGGCTTTTGATTGTTAAACACTTGTGTCTTGGATCACACTGAAATTTCCACCTTAAGAGGAGCAAACACTGAGGCTGGACATGTAGCTGCATATAGATAGGCAGCAGCAGTGTCAGCCACTCACCTTTATACCTGGAGGGCCTCTTCGACCTGCTGCACCCTAGGAAGCAGTGGCATGAGAGATTACATCCAGAACACTGAGCAATATGTGAAACAACAGCTTATAATAAAATACATTATGCATACAATCAAATCAAATACAGCTTATAGAAAGTAGAGATTATTTCCAAAGAAAGGTTTAAGGTAAAAATGAGAAAAGAGTGGATTTGGGACAGAAATTCTTACACAAGTAAGCCTTATCAAAAAAAGGCTTTAGACCCTTACTGAGTGCAGAGGGAAGGCATCTCAACAAAATTCTGGAAAACATCTTCCCAGTCAGCTGCCCCTTGGCTAAAATAAAGAGAACAAGAGCCCTCTTCTCTCCCTCTGAGCTAAGAGGTCTGCACCGCTTCCCGCAGCACACTGCTCAGCAGCACTAGTGAATGTTACTGTTAAACTTCACATCACTAGAGGCCTTTAGGATCTTTCTGCAGCCTGACTGAGGCGTGATCATCGTTCCAGACTTCGGCATTAGGCACCTTTCTGACAGACTAGAAGAGGCGCCTTCCTAAGTTCCAGTCTCCAGTGGATTTAAAAGAGCAGCTCAGCTGACAGTGAATTTATATACAGGCTTGAGCAGGCACACGGAACTTGCAGTCACAGGGAGGAAGAAAGGATAGATTTATCTATGGTGAAATTATGAAGCAATTAAGGCTCATAGAAATGGCTGAGTTTAAGGCTTGTGGCTTCACATGAATCAGACCTAAAATTAATGGGACAGCAAATTCCTGATTTAGAAAAACCTAAAGCACATTGCAATACACATAAGCTACTAAATTTGAAGCCAAGTATGTTTCACAATGAAAATTTTAGAAGATTTTTGTTCCCTCTCATTGCAGGAGTTTTAAGTGTCAGATAAAAGGAAGAAGAGAAAAATTTGGTTTTCTCAATGGGAACCTCATTGGATCTTGTATCAGTTAGTTCCACCCTGTATTGATTACTATTCTTACATCAGGGCCAGCATCACCCTGCTCTCCTTGGAGTCCATGTGGTCCTGGGTCTCCCTGCAAAACAAAGTAAGAAACAAGCTCTTTACTCTTTCTTTTTGTTGTACTTACACATTCTTCTTTATACGATCCTTCTTTGTTTCTTCTCCTAGGTAATTTCATTGCAACCAGTTGTATCATGCTACATGCTGATTCTTGATTTCTGCAAATCATTTACAATCAAAAATTATAAACCGGAGAGATCATGCTTGCTTTGGATTTCAAATCCATCAGTTACTAGCAGCTGATACTTGGTCAAGGCTCTTGTGAAATCATTTTTGTTGACTTCAGTCTTTCAGCTGGACTTCTTAAGATGAGAAAGTTTGATGAGGCGTTTCCAAAAAGTCATCAAAACACAATTATTCTCCAAAAAGTGACCCTAACAGTTTTTCTACTGCTTTTAGCACTCTCTACATAGACATATATGCACACACACGTGTCTCAACATGTGCAAACAACCCTACTTGTTCAGAGAGAATGAAACTTCTAAAATAGTGGATTCTTCTCACGTTGCTAGTTTTCACCCTCTTAAGCTTTCATCCACCATCACTTATATAATACTGTCCAACTACTTATCATCTTTGCTTATTCTTTCCAAAGTGCGACAGTAAAATGGGCTGTGCTTTTCTGTTATGTTTCTTTTCTTGCAGTATCACTCAAACACCTCGTAAAAATTCAGACATTACTATATAAGCACATATCCCAGCTTTTATGTTGTAGATACAGGTCAAAATGGAATTTATCTACCACCCTGAGGAAATAGCAGTTACATAGTAAAATGAGTACAGCCTGTTGATACCCATGCATTTTTCCCAGCATGGTTTTTAATGTATGCTTACAATCCATTACTAGAAGCCTCTCAGGCTGGTGATGTAAATTTGTGGTAGAATAATATATTCATACTAAATCCATACCTTCCCTTAGCTCTATATTATAAGAATATTTCCACAGTCTTCGTTAACCTTTTTAACATTTTTTTTTTTTACAGTATCAAGCACTTCTCAAAGCTTTCTGTGTTGCAGACATACTCTAAAGGCAGAATACAAAATAAAAGAGCTGCTTAGTCACTGGACAGCCAATAGAACTTAGCAATTATGCAAATTCTCTCTCGGTAATATAGAACTACTTGCTTACTTGCCATGCTGGGTTTCCCTTTTCACCCTTAGGACCAGGAACATTATTGCTAGTCCCAGGATCTCCCTGGAAAAGTTAAGCAGAAAGCTCAGCATTTTCAGTGACCACACCTTTATTACTCTGATTACAGAGGCAGGATATGGAAATAGGATTAATGAGATTTGTCATTGCAGCCAACAAGAAATACAAAGGCTATTTTAAATGAAGATGCTTGTAAGAACGCTATATAGGCAGTTCTGCAAAGTCCGCAAGTTTCTTTTGCAAAGAGATGGAAAGAAATATTACTAATGGGCAACAAATTAAACCCTGAAAGTGTGAAGCTGTTCTGGTTGTTTGGGTATAGTTAATTGAGTTAAGATCATAACTAGTTAGTGAGTTTCAGATGGGGTTACGCTAGAATGGAGTTCCATTTAGCCACTTAATGCTAGACACAGATGAAATCCTGATCTCTCAGAGAGGCAAGTTACCATGACACCTAATTTTTTTTTTTTTTAATAAGCATTAGAAGACATGAGTCAACACTATATTTGACTGTTTGGAACAAAGGTCTTTGAAATATGTGTGAGAAGACTTAAAGTTGTGATACAAGAAGTGTGGTGTCTCCACTGAAATTTTAGTCCTCAGGGACTGCATTTATATAGGGCTCTGGAGCATGCAAGGAAAAAATTGTCAGCATGAAGAAGTTACTTGCCTTTGCATCATTATAAATTGCTAACCAAAAGTCAGTGCACAGGGTCATCCAGAAATTCCTCTGTGGGGTGGCAACCACCAGGAAAGACTAAGTAGCTCCAAAAGGAGTTATGTTGCCCATGGCAAAAACAAACAAACAAAACAAAAATGCAAGGAACAAGCAGGAGACCTGAGGCTTAAACACCTGCTTCCAAGCAACAGATCAAAACACATCAGTCCATCTGCATCTAAAGAGTTCAGGACTCCTGGAATATGCCATACTTCTTGCAGAGTAGTGCACCATCTAGGATTGTGAAAAACTCTTCAAATCACATGTATTTCAGGCAGCTCTATCAAAAAATCCAGGCACAAATCAGTGCAACCTAACAAAAATGAAGGAATACACTTACATGATCTCCTCTTAGACCAGATTCTCCTCGTTCACCTGGTTCTCCTCTGGGGCCTTTTCTGCCCTAAATTCATAAAAAGATCACAAGCAACTCGGGTACAGGTAGAAATACTATCTGTGGTAGAGGAAGGCCAGATAAGAGAACACAGATCTGTTTAAGTCAATGGAGCTACACTGATTTACAGCAGGAGCCACATCATATTAAAGAACAGGCAGCTATTAAAAACAACTCACAGGTATTACAGATAGCATTACACTTTGGAAAGATGTTTCCATAAAACCTAAACATTACTATAAAGGATACTTCACCCGCTTTCCCGTGTTGCCTTTCTCTCCAGAAGATCCAGGAAATCCACGTTCTCCCTAGACTCACAAAGGGGGAAGAAAGAAGAAAAAATTAACGGTTCTTCCTTCTGATACATGTGTCCTGGTTTTGGCTGGGATAGAGTTAATTTTCGTCCTAGTAGCTGGTACAGTGCTGGGTTTTGGATTGAGCATGAGAATAATGTTGGTAACACACCAATGTTTTAGTTGTTGCTAAGCAGTGCTTACACTGGTCAAGGACTTTTCAGCTTCCCATGCTCTACCGACTGAGAAGGCTGGAGGTGCACAAGAAGCTGGGAGGGGGCACAGCCAGGACAGCTGACCCAAACTGGCCAAAGGGACATTCCATACCATGTGACGTCATGCTCAGTACATAAACTGGGGGAAAGCTGCCCAGGGGGGCCGCTGCTCAGGGACTGGCTGGGCATCAGTCAGCGGGTGGTGAGCAATTGCATTGTGCATCACTTGCTTTGTATATTCTTTTTATTACTATTACTAGTAGTAGTAGTATTTTATTTTATTTCAATTATTAAACTGTTTTTATCTCAACCCACAAGTTTTCTCACTTTCAGTCTTCTGATTCTCTCCCCCATCCCACCAGGGGGGAGAGGAGGGGCAGAGCAATCGAGCAGCTGTGTGGTGCTCAGTTGCTGACTGAGGTTAAACCACAACAATGTGGTTCCCAAATTTTGTCTGGCAGAATCCAACTTTAATCAGATATGCAACTCTAAACACTAAACAACAGAATTTCTGTTCAGGTTTAAAGCCCATTCAAAGGCACAAAAATCTGTATTTTTGAACCCTGAGGAAGGTGTCTTTAATTGCACTGCACATTTAAAGCAATGATTACCTGCTCTCCATCAGTGCCATCAAATCCACTCTCACCATGTTCACCCTGTAGCGATAAGCAAAAAAACCCTATTAGCATCAGTCCATTTGCCTCTGAGCAAAGGAAGAAGTGTTCACCCTACTTCTGGAAACCTGAATAAGAATAGTGGTTTTCAATGGCTAGCAAGAATAATTAAGAATAATAATTATAAACAGGAATTAATAATTCAGATTTTTAATGAGTTATTAACTTTTAAAACAATTCATAGTTAAGAACACTTAATAAGAACAATGGTTTTTAAAACTACAGATCTTCATCAGGATTTAAATTCTGCTTTTCCATCTGTTAGTTTTCAAATCTTTTTCCCAACTGCAGCACCTTCAAAATCTAGATATATTCCAAAATATAACAACTATTATCTGATCTAACATGCTGATAATCTTGTAATTCTGGTGTCAACCATCACATGTGTTTGTATTGTGGTTTTGGATTTTTTAAATACTTTTATACTGTGAATGGTGTATTGAAAATCTCGAAAGAATAGCCATGATAAAAACAGTTGCAGAAGACTGATCTTGGGCTTTAGGACATGTTAAAGAAACTTCATTACTGTTTCAGCAATGTGATGCTGGCAGTCACATTCCCATTCAAACACACACTGCTCTTCTCTTCCCTTTGTATGCAAAAACGAGTCACCATATTGCCACCATTTATGGAAGCCATTTTCTCACAAAACACCCATCCCAACCTTCGGGAGTTTGCGATGTTAACCTCTTGTTCAGATGAAGAGTGAGGCTTCTGAATAGAGTTATAACTGTGAGAACCTTATTTCATTTATGTATGCTCCACAATGTTTCAGACCTGGCCAAATAGCACACTCAATTTCTAAAGGCTATTTTGAAGTGCTTCTTCCGTCTTTCTTTACTAGGATTAAAATTAAGGTATTAACTGTGATGTTTTTATTTGTAGTAAGAAATTAACTTAGCAGAGATCACTACCCTGAAAGCTGAAAGGATATTCAACAAATCACTGAAAGTGGCACAAGAGCATGTTGTAAATGCTAGTTAAACCAACAGGAGTTTCACTCTGACAGAGACTGCAGATACAATTGCTTTGTAGGTTTTGATGCTAAACTGACTTTGCAAAACCACCTAGTTAAAGTTCCTGAGGAAAGTTTTCATTCATTTATAACAGTTTTGCATGTACTACAAGAAAACTTAGCTGGCTGTACATTTTGGTAAGATTAATATGTCACAAACAAGAATTTCTTGAATAAGTATTCCAGAAAAATTTTGAGCACTAAGTAAGCAATCATGACTTTTATTCAAGTCTTAATTTTTCCCTCATTTATTTCCTACCTCAGAAAACCTGAGCCAAACTTTGTAGTATTAAATATTCAATATTGCCTTTTTTTCTCCAAATAGCTGTACTAAAATGCCTTGCAGACTTCAATAAACTGCCTCAACCTTACTATTGAATACATTTTTTATGTGCTGAAAGTTTCATATTTTTAGTTAGAATAAAATTGGTGGATATAATGACACAACATAATGAAGACATTCACATAGTCATTGGATTTCAGTAGAATTTGTGCTCCTGGTAAGTCCTACTGTACAATTCAACTTGGAGAAATCAAAATCATCAGCAAGCACTCTCCCTCTTCTATAGTAAGATGTTTCAGATATTTAAAGGAGGACAAATTACTTCAGGGAACAGAGCAGAAAATGGAAAAGGGAAGAAAAACACATGGGAGGATTAAAAAAAGTCAGTAGAGAGCAGTACTTTAAATAGAGCTGAGGTATCAGAAACACTCTCAGAACTTTCTCACATGTACAGCTGCTCAGGTTTGGAAACAAGTATCTTCTGAGTCTCTGAGGCTCCGAAATCTTTTCTAGGAGTGGTTTTGTATCAAAGCACTCAATACAATTTGAATTCCATTTTAATTGCTCTAGCTTGGAAACTAATATTGCCATTATCGATCATTGTCTTCCAGGCTTCACATTTTATTAACAAATTGGTGACAACATCCTTTTGACGAACCGGTATGACTGAAAGGTTAAATAAGCAGAATTGCAAGATCAGTGGATGACAAAAACAGCGGAAGAGAAGTCTGGATATTGAAAAAGTGTCAATAATGATTCAGTGAAAATGCTGTCCAAATGCACAATAGATATTAGTCACAATCTTTTTTCACCCCTTTCTGCTCTGCTTCCTCAACAATTAGAATATGAGATTCAGCTAACCAGAATTACCACCTTGACAGATTATTAAAATAGCCAGTAAATAAATTCTTTTCCTGTCAATTAGACTAAATCAACCAACTATGACAGCAATCATGCTAAAAATACAATACAAGTAAGACTGCTGGTTTTTAATAACATCATACCTAACAGCTCACACTTAAATCCACTCTTATACAACCATAGCAAAAGTACATTAAATACTCTAAATTTTTACACTGTTTTCCTTTCTTGTTGATATTTTCATCTTACAAGGTAACGAACCTGAAAGGAAGCAGAACACTGTTCTCGAAGAAAATTGATCACTGTGCTGGTTTTGGCTGGGGTAGAGTGAATTTTCTTCATAGTAGCTTGTATGGGACTATGTTTTGGATTTGTGCTGAAAACAGTGTTGATAATACAGGGGTGTTTTCGTTATTGCTGAGCAGTGCTTACACAGAGTCAAGGCCTTTTCTGCTTCTCACCCGACCCCACCGGTAAGTAGGCTGGGGGTGCACAAGAAGTTGGGAGGGGACATGGCTGGGACAGCTGACCAAAGGGATATCCCATACCATATGACATCGTGCTCAGCATATAAAGCTGGGGGAAGAAGAAGGAAGGGGGGACGTTTCGAGTGATGGTGTTTTGTCTTCCCAAGTAACCATTATGCGTGACGGAGCCCTGCTTTCCTGGAGATGGCTGAACACCTGCCTGCCGATGGGAAGTAGTGAATGAATTCCTTGTTCTGCTTTGCTTGCATGTGTGGCTTTTGCTTTCCCTATTAAACTGTCTTTATCTCAACCCATGAGTTTTCTCACTTCTACTCTTCTGATTCTCTCCCCCATCGCACTGGGTGGGGTGGGGAGAAAGCGGCTGTGTGGTGCTTAGTTGCCAGCTGGGGTTAAACCACTACGATCACACATGAAAACACATACCTGACTTCCTCTATAGCCTCTGGCCCCCTGAAATTGAAAATAAACATAGATGAAACTTGGTGAAAGTATTTTTATCAAGCTTGAGAAGCAGGGCACAATAGTTTGCGGTGCAGAGGCATGCTGGGCTCAGTATTCATAGTCCCTACTGTAAAACCCCCTACTGCCACATAGGGAATTGACCCCTTTCTTGTGGGAAGACAGTACAGCCTTCATTTTCATTCCCATTCTTTATAGTTTTACCTAAGGCCAGTCTAGAGTTGGTGGTGGAAAAGTCACTGGCAAGTTGCTGAGTCAGCAAACTCCTTAGCCATTTGACCATGCTTCAGTTACACAAAATACCTCTCAAAAGAAGACAGCAAAAATTGTCTGTTATTCTTACAGCTGGGTCTTACTGTCCATCCATGCTTCAAGAAGACAGTACAGGGATTTGTCCTTGGTACAGAAAACAGGTTTGTGGGAAACAAAGTTAGGAAACACTTCAAAGTGACATACTTGCCTTATGGCCTCTGACACCTGGACATCCCCTGTCTCCTTGAGTCCCATTGAAACCAGCTGGGCCTCTCTCCCCCTAAGAAACAAAAGAGAATGTTCAAACTCATCGATACAATCATGGTTACTGGTTAAGTCATCATATAAGATTAAAGCAAGACGGAATTATATCACCATTCACTGCACTAAGGACACAAATGGAAGTCACCTGGAAATTTTCATGCTAGCCATAAGAGAACAGCCAATTACTAGTTTGAGTTGCACCCTGGTTCTCTGCTCTCACTACCATGCCATGTTTTAGACTGCACTACCAATCTCTGACTGAAATCTCTGTACTTGAAGGTAAGCCTTTTGGTGAGTTGTTTTTTAACTGAATATTGAATGCCTTTCCTCTAGTCACTGATCTCTGAAGACTTCTATTCCAGGTTTGTTAGGATGGAAGCTCTAATAAAAATTGGAAAGAGAACAGCATCTCCCAGCAGATTCCCTTAAAATTGCTGTCTAAAAAGGTAAACAATGACAAACAAAATGAGAACAAACACAGTAAACATGAGAGCTCCTGTACTACCATGCAAAGGAGAAGACAAACTTGGAAGAGCCTAAGATCAGAAGAACACAGACCGTTCTCTTTCTTTTCTCCTCTTTAAAGAAAGCTCTCTCTCTAAACTAGCAGAAAAGCAACATGGATCGCATTCTAGATTAAGTTAGAGAATGGTGCCACAGAGCCACACCATTATATGAAGAAACAGAAGTTTAAGTGTTTTGGCCTGGCTGCATTGCCTATGTGAAACATTAAGACTAATTCCTGAGCTGAGTACTACACCATGATAAACCAAAGCTGTCCAGCATTATCTCCTCAACCTCCTTTTCTTGGGCCATCTTCTGTAGTCTATTATCAGCAGTCTGCTTTCTGCTGTGTATTTACTACATTTGGATGCTTCAAATTCTTATCTTGTGGCTGGAAAAAAGTTTAGCCTTTAGCAAGGAAAATTTACAACATGGACGTCACTTGTAGGCTTCACCCGCAGGAGACAGAGAAAGTTTCTGAAAGTGTGGACATGACTTCCTCTTATCCTTCCATAGTAAAGAAAAGGAAAACAAAGGAACCAGAAAATTCAGAAACAAGACACCTGTAATTTACCTGTTCTAGAAGATTATTCTGGATTCTCAGAAGGTCAAAACTAGAAATACAATTTCTGACATAAAAACAAATTAAAAAATGTTTTCACCCCTTCACCACTTCAAAAAAGACAAGATTTAGAATCTTTCAAATCAAAATGCTGTGGTGAAAAATTTGGGGCATCCCATTTGAATGTGTTCAAAATGTTTCTCATTTTAAAAAACCTCAGGGTTTTAATTTTAATTCCTACTTATATCATGTCATTCGTATCTGTGAAAGGATGTGAAAATAGTTCTATTCCTGAGTAAGAGAAATATTTTTAAGTCATTCTGGAAATCCCTTATATGGAATTTTATTCTATCGTTCAGCAAATCAGGCCACCTGAAAAAAAATACACTCTGTGGAAACTGCTCCAGTAGTTACAGCCAGTGATTTCCAAAGAAATTGTAAGACTACTATCACAATGCATTTTCTCGATAATCCCGGATGACAATTGTTCTTTTCCAGTACTGCCTTTCTCTGAATAGGCAGTTGGCTTGCCCCAGGCTGCCTCTCCAAAGGCAAATTCCGGCTGACCAATCTACTGTGAGAACTGGAACTACTCCAGTTAAGTACAGAGAGAAATCCTTGGCTCGTTCTTGGTTTGCAGGCTTCTCACCTGCAGTTAGGAGTAATATTCATGTCATAGGTGCAGTGTTGTGAACCTACTTCTGTGCTTATGGTGCTAAGGAAATTATGCCTTATTCTTTGTGGGATTTTTGTTTGTTTCTAGGCAGCAAAAGAGGAAGAAATACTCCCAGTGGATTGGGCTTTGGCTTATGCACATTATATTGAAGTTTATGTCAGGAACAGCACGCTGCAAAGGATTTGGAAATCACCAAAACACACCACAAAATTTAGATTTGTTATCCAGTCATAAGATATTCACTCATGCTAAGAAGGGAAGGGATGGCCTTTTCTATAAGAACTATCAGCACAGAATCTGATACAGTCCGTCACGAAAAATGAGTATATGAGTTAGCCATAAATATGCCACATAAAATGCTGCTGTGTGATTCTTTCTAATTGATTCTTTTTCTGCACTGGAAGTTATTACTAGCTATGGTGAGGTGCAGATGCACACAGAATCAAGTCCGTATATTTACCTTCAGATACATGTTGCTTAAACACATTTTAGGTTAATGTTGATGAGCACTGAATGAATGAGTAAGTGTAGACAGGTTCAGGCACCAACCAACAACATCTTAAGAGGAAGGAATAATGTTTACTTACAATCCCACCTTCCTCACCAGGATGGCCAGGAGATCCTCTGTAACCCGTACTTCCCTGAAAAACAGGAACTTGAGATAAGTAACACTGTTCTCCAAGCACACTGGGTTCATTTCTACCAGATTACCCTGCACATGGAAATAGAAAACATTTCCTGAAAATTAGATCTGGTTATGCTGAGGAGGGCAGGCTCCATCAACTGCATTTACACAGACACTCTGCACAGTCCCTATGTACTTGACATGGCTGTGAAAAAGAAATAAACAACAATGTTCAATATAAAAATTCAGTATGTTACTTCAGGAAACTGTCTGATGGGTTAACAACGCTCATTGGGATATTTGATCAAATTAAACATCTTCCTTAGTGATTTGGAAAAAGCAGCATTATACAGTAATGAAATTCTAAGGTGAAATGAAAAATCTAAGAAGTTGAAAACTTGTTGGGACAAAGATATCACAATACCTTACAAAGACTTTTAGGAATATTGCAACTTTGTATTTGAAGTGATGCAAACCTCATACCCTCAGGGCAAAAACTTGAACAGAGAGAAACTAGAACATAAGGAGTTTCTAGGAATGAAAATGAACAAAAATGAGACATGAATTTGTGCTGCAAAAACATGCTTTTACAATTGTAGGCTGTACAACCCAGCCATCATGTGTGTCTGCCCGCAAAACAACTATGTCTACATTCTGAACACTGTTTTGTCTAAGCATGTTAATCTAGACATTTTAGTAAAACAGAAAGGTGTAAGAAAATCAACAAGAGTAATGGAAGAAATCAGTAAATTGGTTTATGAATAAATATTAGAAGACTATATTTTTGCTAAGAGATAACCAAAAATTCATTTAACTGCAACCACATAACTGAAGAGTGTGAACTACAGATATAATTTACTTAGCATGCTACTGGAAAAAGTAGAAATAATGGAATGAATATTAGTGAAATGGAGACTACATATACTAAAACCCTTAATAATTAAGTCTACCGGCATGCTGTAAAAGTGGCGATATCTGTACTACTCAAAAGGCTTAAAACAGACAATATAAAATCTTAAAGGAAATAATGTAAATTAGTACTGTAGTGGATCAGAAGAAACTTATAGAAGAGGATATTTGGAATAACCAGAGGAAAAAAAGGATAAGGCTCACACCTAGTGAAGAAGGATTATTTTCTACTCTCAGACTTAATTTTTTTAATCCCTCTCCACTTTCTGCTGAATGGGTGAAGGAGAGTGCTTAATGATTTTTGTATGTACGAATGATTTTCATTACGAAAATACTTTTGCAATAGGAACATGCAGCAGAGAAATGATCACATTTCATGTTTCTCCTTCATCTGTCCTAACAGCAAAAGTCATGGGCACATGCATGCATGCTCTGAAATACTACAAAAAATGAAAACACTTTGAAAAATAAAGCAATTCTTAAGTGTTGTCTATCTTAGCTCTCCTACCTTCTTTCCAGGACTTCCCTGGCCACCATGATCACCGTTTTCTCCAAGGCATTTACAAACAACCTTACAGCATTTCCTTTCTGCGACAGTATCCTGAAAAATGACAAGAAACATTTCATTTATGTATATTAATCATAAAACAAAGACTGATTTTTTCCCCTTTTGTTTATATCACAGAAGGACTTACAAGATTTCTCTGCAAGATGTTTGCAATCTCTGCAAACCCAACACTCAAAGGTTCATTGTATTCAAGCCCTCTGCCAAACTCTATTTCCTGAAGTTCCGTCAAGTTCTGTGTGTTGTCCAGGCCAACTAATAGAAGTGCATCAAGACCTCCAACATAAGCATAGATTTAAATTAGTGAATGCCTGAACTGTATCATTTAACCAACAATATCATTGTGAATAACAGCAGTTCTCCAAGAGACTTACGTTTCATGGCTTCAACACAGTATGTTAAAAGAAGTCAAGCTATTGAGAACAATGTGTAAGAGAAAAATCTGGACCAGTAATTTTCCAATTAACTTCTCTCCCCAATTGTCAGTCCAGACTGCTACTCAGTGCCCAAACAGTAGTGTAAAACTGTTTTTTCCTGCAGAAGTCAGAGTTGGGTCTAACCTCTGGTGCTGTACTCATCAGTGAGAAGGGCTGCCCTTAATTGCCCCAGCTGCTGGAGCTGGACTCCAGAAGCCAGAACCATCCCAGGCCCTCTGCACCCCTAGGCGTGTTTCTGGCATCATCTGCCAACCAGTGACAAGCCATCATGTACACTGGTTCACATGGAGAAACAAAGTCTCCCAGTGACTCCTGAGGAATGCCATATGAGCGTGGAGAGGTAATGTTATGTGGAAAAGTTGCAGTGGGGGAGCAATACATTGGGTCATTGGTAGTAGGAGGCTGGAGCATCAATGTGGTACTGTAATACCTTTAAAGCGAAGTGAGTCAGCTGCTTTTCTGAGATCTTCCAACGAATCATCCAGCCCATCTGAAAATACTAACAGAACCTGTCAGGACAGGGAGTAATGCCAAGTCAATTGAGAAGAGGCTAAAAGTTGAGTCATTGTAAAAAGTACAGTTTGCATTGAAAACTGACTATGAGGTGGTCAAGTTGCACAACATTGTGGTAGATTTGAAACGTGTGCTGGAAAAAGTGCTGAGGAGCAAGGAGAACAGAACACAAAAGCCTCTCTTCCCTGACAGCACTCCCATTTGAGGGATTTGTCTTGCTGACCAGTTCACAGTGTTGCTATTAATTATATTATATCTGCCATCTTCTCAGTATGCTAGGTGGAAGGCCAATTCTGCTCTGATTTATCCACTGAAGAGCTTTGATGTCAGAAGAGTTCTCCTATATGTGAATGGGGAGAAGAACGTAGAGCAAACAAAAATTTCCCTTTCTGCAAGAGCAGCTCCAGTTGGCTATCCCCTGAGCCACACCCGGAAGTGCACCCTCTCTGGGTCCCATCCTCCCTCCCTGCAGATGCTTATGTCCCCTTGTCCCACAAAGGCAGTGCACCACCTTGCTCCACTCTCTGCCATATTTTTCCTTGTTAAGACATAAGGCTTAGCTCACATAAGGACACTAATCCTGACCCTTTGTATTGGTGACGTTCCCACCTTTTCAGGTCAAAGAGCTATAGTTAAGCCTCTTTTGAGGGCTGAGGAAAGCACAGTTTCTTACAGCTCCCCTCCAAGTTATCAGTCTCTTCCCATTTCTCTCCTCACCTTCCCCCTTCAAACCAGCAGAAGTCTTCTCAGGCCCCACTCATCCAGTGGATTAGGTTTCCCAGAAAGAGGCTGCACAGGTAAATTGTCTCCTGCACCCAACGGTCATGACTAAGTCCTCCTAAACTCTCTGACCAACAAGTGGACAAGCACAGCTAGAGCTCCTTCCCTCCCATCCTACTTATTTTACAT